TTAAATGCGCGCACATAAAAGATATAAATTTATAATTATAATATATATATATTTATTTTATCAAAGCTTTTCATATTTTCATATTTTTACGCAACTTTAAACGAATAGAATAGCATTTCGTTCGCAATCAATTAATACGTAATCTCTAAATGAAAGGAAATTGTTAGCTCAGTGTGAATGATAAATTATTTTTGTATTTTGAATTTATCTTTCAGATTTATGTATTCAGAACGATATCAAAAAGGAGGAATGCGCAACGCATCTGTCCCTCTTGAAATTATCTGCATCATCAATGACTAAGAGTGCAACCTTGTCACGCTCGTTATTAAAATAGCAATCAAGTTTCACAGACGGAAAAATTGCGACGTGCGTGTGGCATGTATGTGGCAATTTGCTTTAAAAGTTGCTTCGTTATCTACTACTTGTAACGACCGCATTTGCACGCATAACTCACCTCTTAACTCGCCGCTATAAACGGAACTTGCAGGTGTCTTCGATAAAGAAATTTCCTTACCAGTTGATAATGAATAATTCTTCCGCCTCGCCAGTGTTTCTGCGCGAATTACTCTGGTTTTATCAAGATTGCGATGCCGTTAAAAAGAAGTGGAGCAATATATCAAAAGATAGAAAGAACAAAATTAGTTAGGAAAGAAAAGGAATTGACTTATTCTGATATTATTATTCTTATTTTAGAGAAGAAAGATAATTATCATTGCTCAAATAAATGAATAGATACAGATAGTTATGATAAAATACTATGCAATATTAATTGTTGTAACATCCTATGTTGGCTCAAATAGACATTGATTTATTCTACTGATTTACTTCGATTGAACTTTGTATATCTATTATTTTAATTCGTATGTTAATTTTTTGAATTGCATTACTTTTAAAGTAAAAGAGCGAATTGGAGTAGTAAAGAAGGATTGGAATATTAATTACTTTAAATTAACGTTGAAATGTAATTAATAAAATCCGCTCAATTGAGTTATTAACACTCAAGTTAGTTGGAACGATTGTATTTTAAATGGAATAAAAAATATTTAAATAAAATACTGCATATCATATTGCTTGATTGAAATTAGTCTTCATATTGAAACTTTGATATATCATTTATTTTCTACGAAAGATTTACGTCTAAAATATATATTCATGGTGTTTCATGTTATGGAGCCACAGTATTACATTTGACACGTCGATTTTCTTCTAATCAATACGAGAGATCCGTGAAACGTAAACGTCAACGGCCGCCGCCCGGGCGCAATGTCCCCTCAACCCTTTTTTCGTATTCTCACCCCCGCAGCTGACGAGCTGACGGGATACCACCTGACGGTTACCACCCGGGACAGCTGTTCTTTCCCCTTCGCGAGACTCGCGTACATCATCTCCTTCCTCCGTCGTCTCTCGCGCGTTGGCCCAAAAAACCGAAACGATTTCATATGGTTAAAAAAAAAAAAAATTCAAAAAACCGCATGCTTCGTCTCGAACAACGGGATGTTCCGCGGTAGGGACGAAAGGGGAGTAATCATCGGCAGGGAGTAATAATATAGTGGAACCACGTCGTGTAGCAACATTCATTATTTATTACAACTGAAATTAATTTGAAACTAACTTTGAAAGATTTGATTGAGAGATAAAATTATATAAGCAACTTTATATAGCAAGATAATTAATTAACTCTCTTGACGATACATCCGTCGGTACATCTATCATCCCCTAGGCACCGAGGTGCCTTCTGTCTCTCTTGAGCAAACCCATAGAACCGTTCATAGGATCGTCGCGGGACGACCGGAAGGTCGGTGAACGCGTTTCGAGGATTGCGAGACGGTAAGAAAGAAAGCACATAGATTCTCCTGGTAACAGCAGTCGGCGGGCTGCTGCCCCGGCTTATTTTCGCTGGACGCGAACGTCGAAGACAACAAAAGTACCTCGACGGAGCAGATGCATGGCATGTGCTACGAACCGACACCAGATGCCCCATTGGCGTAGAGAGATCCCTCCTCGACGGACGACCCCGATAAAGGTGCATGGTGCCCGATTCCTTTCAAGCTAGTCGCGTGCCAGATCCACAACCGTTTCTTCGTTCGCGTATGTTCCCTTCCATGAGTCCCATCACATATCATATCGAGAGAGCCGTTGGTACGTTGGGAACCGTCCGATGGGCGACCAAACAGCTTTTTCTCACTTTGCTAACCAGGAGTCTAGTGTTTTTTTTTTTAATAATTTAATACATAAACTAATTAACATTTTCAAATATATTTCAATTAAACGTATATATATGTATGCATATGTATATACATGTGTACGTTGTATATACATATATAGGTACTGGTTGCGACGAATCGAAAACAAAAAATTTCCCTGACAAGTCAGCACCTGAGAAAAATAGTCGAATATACTGATATATATTAGCTCGATAAATATCTTATTAAAAACTTTCCATTTTATTATAAAAAAAGTGTTACATCATTTATTTGTATCGTCATGTAAACGCGACATACGCACAACGTTCAGTAACAATATTTTAGATAAAATTTCGATTTTTTACGAGTTATGCCCCTGATTTGATTAATTAAAATTTTAATTAAAACGTAATAAAAAATCAGATTTCTAGCAAATGCCTAAAGACAGTGCGTTTACGACGCATTGAATGGCCGCTTCGGCTAAGTTTTAGTTTAAGGACTGGGAAAGACGAGAACGAGACGACGGGCTTAATTAATTTAGCGGTCGTTTATTTACTGGTCAATGTTATCTACAGAGCTTTATTGTAAAAGTAACAATATTCGTGTATAAGTTAAAACGATATCATACATATGTACAGCTTACTATTCGGTCGCGTGGGAAGAACGTCGATTATTTCCCATTAAAAAAATCGCACGGAATAAAAGAATTCTCAAAAATTTCTCCGCATTTCACTTCGCAGTCGTATCTCGATCCTTTGCGGACGATCGATCACGATGTAAAGTCTCTTCGACAAGTGACACACGATCGAGGTTGATCGTCGATCCTGAATCACTGGCGATAATCAGTTTCACGTATATCTTGTTTTATTTTACTTTTGCTCGTTTCATTAATGCAGGATCAATTCAACGTTGACGCTGCAATCGATGCACGATCCCGATCAATTTCTCGTATACACGAGGAATGATGATCGCGCTATCTAAGTAATGAGTATAAGATGTGGAAATTTCTGAGGTTTTACGGTGAGCTTTTTTACAATGGCTGAGACGTGTTCGAGCGGCCGACGTGCATAATTTTGCACTTATTATTGTTTAAACGCAAACATTGATTTAAACGAAACTACTAATTTTGTTACTAGTATTATAAGAAGACACACATTTCAGGTCATCTGAATTGGACTCCTCGTAAAACCTCGTTATTTCGATACTGTAATTTCTTTTACAAATTAAAGATTCGCTGACGACCGAATAAATTCCTATCTAAATCTCTGAGCTCTCGTCGTCTCTCGCCTATAATCCGAATTATATACAATATTTTCGGGGCTAAAACACGTTTTCCTTTCCTATTGTCGACATTGTAGCCAATTTCTTCGTATACGGTCCGATTAAAAATCGTTTCGCGTATAATCGCCGACAAAATTCCAAAGTCGCAACAATTCTAAAAATCGATACTTTTAAGTCACTCAAGAAAAAAATTATTTCTTGATTTAATGTATATAATAAATAATTGTTGTCATTTTCTTTTTATTACTTTCATAAACGTAATTTTGAACGTATTAAAAAGTTTCGTCTGATAATAATCGAAAAAATTCTGCAATATTCTGTCGGCGATCACTATGTACTTATCGCACTTCTTTCTTATACATACCAAGTACTTAACGTCTTTTCCTTTTTTCTATTATCCCGCTTATCGTAATTTAATTCTTTCGGTCATCTTTTTAGTTACGACAGGCTAACCTAGGAATTTGTTTTAAGAATAATTCTAGTTGTGATTCGCCGGACGTTTCTCTACAGTTTGATGATTCTAAAACTGCTGGAAGTAGGTTCTTTTAATGATTTATGATTCTTGATTAAGACGTTCACGTTGACGAATTTCAAAGCGTTGAACATCTCGTTACGAAAAAGAAATAACGTTCATATCGATCCAGCGTATGAACGCTCTATTCAATAATATCGATTATAATAATATAATCGTCGAAAGATCCCGAAAAACCAATTCGCAACGTCTGCGAGCAAGAGTCAAATTGACGCTCCAGTCAGAATGTATGTCTAATAATCAACGCAATGTTTCAACAAAACAAAAAAAATATAATGAATATGTCCAATTAATTATCTCTCAGCAATGTAAGAAAGTAGCAAAATCAAGAAAAGCAGATAATAATCGAATTATTTATGGTACAAAATGAATCTTTATGACTCAAGAAAAGTATAATTTTTCTTCAAAAGAAGAAAAATGTAAATAAGCGAAGAGTCTTGCGCAAACGATTTCACAACATGCCATGTTCTTACGCTCGCTTTATTTAAATAACAAGATTAATTTATCTCAGATTTCTCTCTCGAAAGTTCTTCAACGAGATACGTCGCAAGAAATAAATTTAATCGCTCTCTACCTTAATTCTAGAGCCTCATCAATCCAGAAGCAAACTCATGTCTTGCGACTTGTTGTCCGTATACCCGGTGTATTGAATAAACGCCCTCTCCTTCTGCAGATCTAGGTGATTTTTCATGGCAATAACTGTAGGATGATGAAGCGGTAGACCCTCGTCTTCGACGAGATATCGGAGTGCCTCGGTGGCGCAAGCGTTCCATCCTGCCGTCCAGGAATCGGGATTCTGCTCCTGCTGATTGCTGAAGGACTTTCCAGCAGCCTGCGTAGCTGCTGAATCATCCGTCCACAGGCGATGATCTAAACTCGAAGAATCAAGGGTTCGACCGCGTGGTTCCTGACGGAAGTTCTCAAAATTTGTAAACTTTGTGAAATTCGCGTTTTGCTCGTCGAGATCGTCAAAAAAATCAAGATCACCGTGACCGAAATTGTTTTGACGGACAGACGTTTTCGGATGATCCACTTGGTCCTGAAGGCAACCGCGGCCAAGGTAACTCGTATCCTGCAACATCTCCACGCTGTGCATCGTACTTTGATCTTGATACGCCGCTCTGCTACTCGAGGACTGTTTCTGGGAATATTTGAGTTCCTGGGCTAAAGAGGCTGCGAGTTGATGCAATAATTTGGTATTATCCGTTTCCTCGTCGTCTTCCTCGAGCTCGTCGATGTCTACTTCAACACCCTCATCCTCCTCCGACGACAGAAGGTCCTCATCGTCCTCATCCATGCCTAACAAGGTCAGTAACCGTTCGGCGGCATCTACGCAGGTTGCAAACGGCCTAGATTATCTGTTAATGCGAGAAGATTGACTCGAAAAATTTTTAACAAAGGAAAGGACCGATTTTGTAATGGTATCCTTCGATGAAATTAACAGCAAAATTAATTCTAGGACAATGCACATGAAATAAAATTAGAATTTAAAATTTGTAAACACACAGGCTAATGAATATCAATATAACAATAAGATTTACATGACTTTTCAGATTTTATTTTGCTTTTATAGTATATAATTTTGAGAGTATGTAACTTTGTTTCATAAATTCCAATTGGTGAATCAATGTACAGTTTTAAATTTTTAATGTGTCCAATTTGAGTCATTTTTAATCGTTTCTGTAAGTCATTACTCCTATTAGTTTAATCAAAACAATATAATTGAACAATTTAACTCAAGAAATGTATTAAAGCTTACTTAAATTTAGTTTATTATTACTAAGTGCGTAATATGGATGTTATTGACTTTGAAATTAAAAAATATAAGATGTACCTTATTAAATTCATAACGTTAAATTATATTTAATTTGAGTTATTTTTAATCATTTCTAGGTTGCCACTCCTTCTCTATAGATATAGCGTTAATTAAAACAATGGAGTTGAACAATTTAACTTAAGAAACTGTATTAAATTTAACTCAAATTTAGTTTATTATTTACTAAGTGCATACGTTTAATATGGACGTTTACTTTGAAACTAACCACAGAAATGGATTGACTTATGTTTTGACATGAAAGTTAAAAGTAACAAAATGTTATTTTTAACTTAAGAGATTGGATTACCATTGACCTTTTGATATTTAACAATGTATATCAAAAATATTTCGCGGACGAATAAAGAAGTTGATTCTGCGAATGGTAATCCACTGTGAATCTCGTTAAGTCACCAGACGCCCATTGAGATTCTCCCGAAAAAGACAAGACGTCTCAGACGTGCATTGCATGCGATAAATGACGCGGCGGAGACTCTCGCGTTTTGAATCGACGACAATGACCGGGAGAGTGCATTATTGTAACAACCGGACCGCGATTCGATGAGTAGCCCGCCGCAATGAGGCCGACGGCCCGGTTTTGCGGTCCTGTGGGAATCCTGCCCCATAAACGTCCCACGGGAACTACCTGTCGCCCGAAACCCACACCCTGTCGCATCCGCTCTGCGAATCGCCGCATTTCGCACGAGTCCTCTCCGCTTTCTCATCTCCCTCATCCGTGTGTGGTGGTATCATAATGTGATTCGTTGCATCGGTACCGTACGTGTGTGCTACTCGCCGTTCACACACCACCGCGAGAGCAAAAAGGTCGTTTCTCCGGCGAGGGTAACTTTGAGATACCTGTTCCTGGGAACGGGAGCGATTTTGATCGAAAAGTGGCAATCAATTAAGTACGTTCAGCCGCGGAGTTCGAATAGAAGAACTTAATGGATTAATGTTATTAACGTTACAGTTATCGAAATAATTTAATAAATGACATATGAAGAAATATATTTAAAGAAAATTAGTTCAACTTTAAAAAAAAAAATATATATATATATATAAAATACAATATAATTAATATAAAAAATACATCGAATTAAAAATTAAAACAATAAATAATATTATTTAAAACTTAAAATGCGATTATATGAAAATTTCATGTAAAAAAAAATAATAGTCAAATTTTTTTAACAAATAAAACATACAAATTAATTATTTTTATTTAGTAGTAATCCAAATTAATGAAAAAATCGAAAAAAATCGGAAGAAAATATTTAGACAAATTATCTAATGTCTTCATTATTCCTATATTATTTTCTCGACGTTACGAGGGTAGTTGATCAACAGTTTTTTCGAACTGACAAGCGTATATTACGACCGTCATACTTGTTCTTTTCTTTTTCTTGACGATAATAGAAAAGTCTGGACCAGTCGCGAGAGCGAGTTCGTTGATTCTTCTTTTTTTCGGACAAACATTTCTTTCTCTCTCCCTCTTCAAGAGGCATCAATGCGACTCTCTGTGCCGGACGTTCCCACAGGGATACCCACATTTAAATGTCCTGTTCCTATAGTCTACGGGACGTAAAGTTTAGTTTAGGTTAGGTTAGGTTAAGCGACGATTTAAAGGGACAATTGAAAGGCACTTAACGAACAAACCGTTTGTTTTTACCCCTATATAAAATGTAGACTGAAATATATTATAGATAGAAAGTAATAGAGTTACCGTAAAAGCTATGACATTTCATCTCAAGAATGTGCACCGATTATTGTCACAACTTATCGAAACGTTTTTTTGTATTCTAATCTAATTGTATTCTAATCTAATCTAATAAATAATTTATATATATAATAAAATGTATAAAATATACTCTGTTAACTCTAAAATGTTTATTAATTTGTTATCATATCTGACGTTTGAAATAATCTTTAAACAACGAAATTATTTGTGTTTTACGCATGAATAAATAATGCGATTTATGATAATACGGCTATAAAATTATTATTCTCGATCGTCAATAATGATATGGCGTATTGTGGCTTAAATTACACGCAGATCGATTTTTATCGCAGTCAATCAATCGACATCATCGCGGCGGCCGTAAACTTGTTTACGTGCATTTTGAAGTTATATTATAATCTAAATCATTTAAGTGATATCGTCTAAAATTGCTCTGACGAAGGAGGGCCATAATTCTTGTTGGCGAATAGAAATTCTTGTAGCTGTACGTACATAGAAAGCCGACATTAGCATAGAAAATTCATATTTCAGGAGAAGATCGGCCGAGCTGTAGTATAAGCGGCAAAGCTATTCTCCTAGCGAGCAGTACCCGGACTTATATTCCGTGATTAATGACGTCGACCTAATAAATTTTAATGGCTCACTCGCGCGTACCGCTTTACGAATAAATACGGGTACAAAGTTTCGCAATGTTATGCTATTACAGAAGGTATCTACGTCATTTGCACCTTATTAAAAGTTTTAATCGAGGCGACTTGAATATTCCGCTCCTATTCTGACGAATCATTTTATCGTCTTGAAAATCTCTTAATTTAGTAAACTAATTAGATTCTGTTATACGAATAAGCTGTTATATAAATAAAGAAACAAACATTTGTTTACACAAAGACATAATTAAAAATATGAGCTTAAAGTTTTTTTTTCTAAAGAAGAAAACGATTGTTGTAGAATTTACTCTTTTTTCTTCTAAAAATGGCTAATAAGTTAATATTTATTATTTATATATTATTATAACAATTAATTTAATGTTAAATAAAACTTTAAGAAATAAACCGAATAGAAAAATTTATGTGCTTATAGGTTTATTATAACAATTTTGTTCACGGAACATTTTTACTACGACAAATTGCAAAGAAACAAAAATTACTATGGCTATGTTCTTGCTATAAAAAAAAAAAAAAAAAACGTTAAAAGGAGATGGTAGGGTCCAACGGTATTATAGGAAATACTAGCGACGTTTTTCACTGGAATGTAAGGATTTTCTAGAGCGCGAGAAACTTTCTTTCTACAGCAAATACTCCCTTATATACGACGTCGTAAAATATTTCCACTTCAAGTTTTAAAGAAAGACCAAATTTATCGTGTCCATGGGTCAACTTGAATTTGTTCCGTATTTCGGAAAACAATTTCACAAAAAGAGGAGGCAAAGACACATGATAAAAATAGTATACATGTTTTATCGTAATTGAATAACAATGTAATTTTTTTAAAATCACATTAATAAAAAATTAACATACTGCGTAAACATAATTGATGTTATCATGTTTTCATTAAAATTTGCATATTACAACTTCTCGTCGATTATAAGATCTGCATTTTTAATAAATTATTTTTACAATTATGTAATTATCTGATTGTAGGTGCGAATATTTATAACGTATATAGATAATATTTAGATCCATAAAAGATATACAATAAATAAATTACCTTGTATTGTACGTGAATTATCCGTGATATTAGTGGATAAGTTGACGAAGTCTTCTAATCCTCCGCTATCTTCTCCACTATCTCCTCCACAATCCATCATCGTGTCCTGCACAAAGAATATAATATAAAGAAAAAGGAAAAGATTTATAATACAAAAAAGGAAATTCTCTATTGTCTATAAATTATGTAATAAACGTCAAGCTTAAAGCTAAATAAAATAAAAACGTTATAACGGTAAAAATAAATAATTAAAATAAATATACGTTAGAATATAATAATTCATCGTAACAGACGCAAAATTTTATTTAGAAATCTTCAAATTCAACGCAACTGTTAATTTAAAACAAGAATTTAATATATGTTGTGAATTACTGCAATTTGGATCAGAATTATTAATGCCATTATTTATATAACTTTTGTGCAATGCTGCAATGACATTAATGACACTCGGAGTAGTCTCCAAACCATCAATTTGCCATTAAATTTTGTAATTCACGAGGAATAAACGCTGTTAGTGGCAATTTCTTCGATCGAGAAAAGCTTTCCCCGAAATAATTATCATCCACGATAATACGATCGTAATGATTTCTCTCGTCGATGACAAGCTCCTTGATGTCAGAATTATAAATTATAAGTTGTAGATTTACAAAAGAGGACTCACAATACAAAATACCTTTCCTTTACATACATATATTTTCCAATATATTTTAGAAATATAATTTAAAAAATAAATATTTTATATTCAGAGGAAGATATATATATATACATATATCACATTATCTCTTAATGTCCATTACAAAACAGTATATTTATATATTATTAATATTAATGCTATCTTTTTTCGTTTCCCTTTTTCTTTTCTTCATATATTTAATATTCCATATTTTGATAAATGACAGATAACCCAAATAGCGATCTTGATGTCAAAATGGCGACAAATGATATTGGCTTGTTATCTGGAAATGATATAATATTTATAATCTTTATTACATTATGTTAATTGATGCAATTGATCCACAATAATTTACCAATTTACTTCTAACTTTATCATAGCTCTATACATAATACGTACGTTCCAAGCAATTATTATAAATGGATTAACAGTAGAAAATCATCAATACTTTCACCTAATTATGTTGGCTTTTAATACGTATATCAATAGAACTCTTTCTAATCATCCTTAATTTTAAATTCATTATATTCTTTTTCGGAATTTAGGTGACAATATTATTAAGACAATGGATTTAAATTGTGTTATTTATTATAGAATTATTTACAATTAAATATGATTTTATCAATTCTTATCTTTGTGATCACATTTAATTTTTTATTATGTTTAATTCAATTTATATTTTTGTAAATCATATATGATCAAAGAAAACTTTGTAAACTAATTTCGCTTAATTTTTACTATATCTAACACGTTAAATATAATTAATAATATTTTAACATCTTTTATTATTAGTTTGTCTTTGGTCGTTTCTCTCAATAGAATTTATACTGTCAGATCGTTATTATTTAGACTTTCACCTACGTTTTGCGCGGCAAATACACATGAGAAAAATTGATAGTCCAATGATAATATTATTCAATCTTTTATAAAAGATTTTACTACCAACTATCCAAAAAATGAAATTTACGAACGCATTTGCTTCTTTGTAAAATTTTGAAAATTTATTATTTTTAGATTGCAACTCAAAAAACTATAAATCGGTTCCAATTGTAGTAAACTATATTTTACAAGATGGCACAATTACTGGCAATATATAAAAGAAAAATAGACTAGTAATTGTATTGTGCATTCCATTGTATTTTGCATAAAAAGATGCCTCTATTATTTATGCACCTCTTGGAAAAGTAGGTTAAAATACAATTTAAAAGATACTGAATTTTATACATAGAAGGGCTCATAAATGGGAAGAAAATTTTAGAAAAGTTTTTCTGTGATGGACGGATGGATATAAATCAATCTTGCCAGTCGAACACACCAATGCGAATTCCCTTAGATCGGTGAAAGCGAGAACACGGAGAAAGTTCGCGAATGGGTTAAAATGATCATGTCGCTGGTTATGACGAGAACATAAGAGTGGCAATTGCACCGAAAAAGAAACATAAACGGTGATCGCCAGTAAACATACTGATCAAATAACTGCCAACATAATGACGATTGATCGCGATTTTCACCTAAGTAGACCTTTAATACGTCACGCAAGCTGTAATAAGCTATAAGTTATGATAAGCTATGAAGTAAAAATATGATAACGTATAATATTGTATAACAAAATAATTTTATAAAATGAATATAATTAATATTTTTTATTTATAGAGAAGCTGTTAGGACCTGTGTAAAGTTAGCCTCCCTAACTTTATGAAATATTAACTTTCTATAGCTCATTTGATTTCTCATTGTTTGCACATGTATACACATTTCGAACCTTTCTCTAAACTTTGGTTATTAATAACTTTTTAATAAAAGATACGCAAATAAAAAATCGGCCTGTTTCAAAATATGCACACAAAAATTTATTGATTGAGACTATTTCGATTTAATTTGCTCCTAATAGTTGGGAAGGTTAAAATTGTTTTTTGAATAACTTTTTTATTGGAAGTGTGCAAACAAAAATTTGATATGTACATACATGTACAAACAATGAACCATCGAATGAGCTGTAAAAAAATTTTTTGTAAAGTTGAGAGCCAATTTCATACAGGTACTATTAAAAGATATGTAAAGAATAGTGTTGCAGCATATTTGCAATTTTAACGACAAAATTATAGCAATGTTGTTCATGCATAAATTATCGATTCGTGTAAATTAATGTGTATTATATAAATTTTCATTTTTATTTATTCTAACAGTGATTACGGTCAGAAACGACATTAAAAATATTAAGAAATGCGAGATCACTTCCGATTTCGTTTTGCTTATCGCGTACTAATTATCGCCATTACAGAAAATAGCCTTAATGAGTTGTGACCATAACCGGAATCGATTTATCCACAGTCTTTCGCAATTAATTGCCTTGTTATGGAAATGTATTGAATTTAAACGAGCCTGATACATTCGATCGCGAGACTAATCTTCACCATAATATTCCGTTTTACTTTAAATTAGGAGCAAGTCCGATATAGATCGACTATACGCAAATGAGACATTATTATAAATTTTCTCCTTTAATACTTTCTACGGATTATCGAGAAAATAACGGACCCGAATCCATAAAAGATTAAAGTGCAGCAAACACGAAAACTGTAAATAATATCTTGTCGTTGATATCTCTTCTACTTAAACTTCTACGAATAAGTCGATGCAATAAAACTCGCATGCATATTCATGTTCGACTCCTCGCATTCGTATTATTCCGCATAACCGAGGCGACCGAAATATAAAGTACGCTCTAATCAATACACGAAGGAGTGAAAATAGATTTTGGAATCATCTTCTTTATGAGTTTTCGTCTCATAAAGGTGAATGGACCGTTTCGAGTTCCAGGAACAATTCTGATGCAAGTTGCTAGATATCAAGCTGAATTGTATTCGGTCAATATGCATATCTCGCATGACTCCAAATTTATATTTTTGGCTGAATTATAGCTATGGAGCTATCGTCATCACAGAGAAAAACGGGGGTAAGTATGTTTAAATACAATTGATACACGCAAATGAAAGCACGCGACGAAAGCCTTTCGTAATACCTACATAATATTTGGGCTATCGATCGCAAGTAAAACGCGAGTTTACTTTAGTTAACGAATTGTAGACACGCCCGACTATCAGTAAAATAATAAATTATAATTATATCTATTTGATAATATTTCAACAAAAATGTATAGTTGCAAAATTGAACAAGATAAAAAAATATACAAGAGATGACGTTTAATAAAAGTAAAACTATACATATATTCCGATCTGTAAATTATTTATTTAACTTTACAATCTTTTGTCATCTATACATATTTTTCAGCCTTTATTGCTAAAGTCTTCCAATATCTATTTGCTTCATATATAATTTCTTTTAATTTTTAAATAATAAAGATAATGGGAAAAGAATTACCGCACTAATCAGATGAAAAATTAGATCTCTGTGAAAAAAATTAATTCTTTTTATATATAATTCAGTAAACAAAAAGATATTATAAATACAAGGCTCAATAATGGATAGTTTTTGAGCTATAATAATGTATCAGAAATCTTCTGTAAGAGCACAAGTTTTAGATTTTTAATACACTATAACTCAAAAGTTCATTACTGAGCTTTATGTAAATAATATCTTTTATTTTCCATATTACAAACTATATTTTATGTAAAAACGCATTTCATCAAAACCCAATTTTTTATAGAATTATTATATAGAACAGGAATTTTATTTTTACATTTTTAATATCTGTCCAAAATATTTAAAAAAACGAATCATCTGGGCAAATGTAAATCACGTCAGATGATCGATCTATATCATGTCGGGTATACTCATTTTTCATTCGGGTAAAATATTCAGTGGAAATACAATTCAATTTAAGATAAACTGATTAATGTGAATTGATTTCCTTGGCCTTCCATGTTAAAGAAATTTTTATCTCGTTCAAGTTGTTCTCGTTTGAGTTATCCAAAATAGCATGCAAATTTTGAAATAAGTAACGATAACTCGCAATTTATCTTTCTTTTGCAAGGTGCACCGAAGCAACTTTGTCTCGCGCAGATTACCAACTCATCTAATTAATTTGCATCGCGACATAGTACGCGACACGCGGCAGAAATAAAAGATCGTAAACGAAGTTTATATGTTAGCGCAGATAAAGCAAGTGATCGGGAATGTGTGACTATCATCTGTAAAAAAATCGTAACGAGTTACACATCAAGTTACTAAAATATTCTTCAAGGATATCAAGATACGATAACACTACAGTGTGAAAATTAAAGCTTCAGAAAAAAAAAACGGGATTAACTGAACTTCATTAATCCCCCCGATCGAAGGTAGAAAGCAAGCGATTAATAATTAAAGAATCCTAAAAATCAAAGCAATTTTAAAGAGAGCATTCAATCTTTCAAAGTTTTTTTTCCATTCAAAGTCATATTCTCGCAAAAGACGGCCAGAATTCTCTACAGTCTCGTCTTTATCAAGTCATTTCATGTATAAATAGAACACAGGCAGAATGCATGAAGGTATAAGTATAGCACATAGCAAAAGGACACGTTTGACTACTTCGATGCAGTCGTCTCTTTATTAGTTGCCAGGCAGACAGATGTAAGAACGTAAAACGCTATAGATAATGCCACCGATATTCCAAATTCGAGGGACGCCGCGAAAAATGAGTCTTAAGAGAATATTAAAATTATGAGGATTATGAGGATTATAAGGGTGGATTTTAAGGAATGTTTCGCGGAAAATTTAATATCGCACCGTATATTTCGAGATTTAAACAACGTAAATGAATAGCTTATTTTACAGAAAGGTCGAATACACAATCCGTTGAAAGTAAATTGAGTTAATCCTTGAATATTATAATGAATATATTATAATTAAAATAGAAATAATTTTGACAATTAATTATACTATAAGTATGATATTATAATACTAATTGCGGTTTTATTTGCCAAGATTGAAAAAATATTTTCATAAAGCTGTGATTCGATACAAATGACAACTTCCTTACTTCTTTTCTAATTTATAATAATTTAAACCAAACAGTTTAGGATATTAATCTTATTACTAGTAAAATATACAATATATAAAAGTCTTCTTTTTGTGAAAACAAATTTAATTTAACTTTCCATTCTCAAAGATTGAAAAAACTCTAAATTAAGTTAAACGAGATTCAACGAGAAATGTTGCGAACAAGAAGAAACATGAAAAAAGTTTGAAAGATAATCGAAGTTCTAGAGAATCATTGGAACGAATTCGAGATTTCTTCTCTTCGTGCAATATACAAATGTTGAAACTACGAAGAAACGGGACGAAGCACCAAGAGTGACTGCTACATTTTATGCAAAATCGCACTTCTCGCGGAGAATTTTTCTTTCTTTCAAAGTTTCGAAGAAGCACAGACATCGAGAATGTAGTTAACTGCAGAAAAGGGCGCATCCTTCGCGCAATAGGATTCAATTTGAAATTCTAATTCGCCCCAGAGTCGTCTCGATAGAATTTTAAGCGAGAAAACTCGCAGCGAGATGACTCGCGAGAAGATTGGAATCGAGAGATAAATAAGTAAGTAGATGCTAACCAAGAGAGGGAAGAGCTTAGAATCTAAAACGGATCTAGGATTCGTAAACAGTAAAATTACATTACATACATCCAATTGTATCGGGACAATGGACACGTGATAATGTAATAAAATACGAGTGTAAAAACGAAAGGAACAAAATAAAAAACATCTCAGTAAAGATAGCGATTTTCGTATACAGAAATTGTTGTATCTAATTCCATAGTCTCGGAAAACAGGTAATAACGAATGCGCGTGTAAATCGATACGCCCCTTTTGTCGTTAATAACCGACACCCCGACGGGGTTGGGAAACGCCGAGCCAAGTGGGTGGGAAAATCAGGAAGAAAGGGGTGTCTCTGCAGCGTCCTCCCCCGCGTTGCATAAATCAAATGTACGCACAGATAGAATCGGAAACTATTTACGTCGCGAGCGGACGAGAGAGAGAGAGAGAGCTCGAAATCTTCGCTTCAATGAAGATTTAAATCACCGAATGCGTGCGGAATTCACGCGTTTGTCGCCGCACCTCCATATAGAGCTCGAATGTCACTCTAATAGATGGATGGTAAAAGCGACCGAGAGAAAGGACACGATTATTCGAATCCATCGATCCTCGCGTTATATCGCGAGGGGGAAAAAAAAAGGGATTCGTTTCGCAATCGCATCGAAAACGAACGTGCCACGCGATGGAGAACGAATAAAAAACCGATTCGCCTGTTCGCAATCGATTTCGAGCAGGTGCACTTTGGCAGCCGAACGCGTCGCGCTACAGCCACGCGATGCATTCCACGATGTGATCGTAAATATAGATGATTATCGGACGGTGAATTGGAATTTTTCCGAGAATACCGCTCCAACGAGAAATAGCAAAAATATTATTACGGATAAACATTAAATTAACGCGATATGTTTAAATAGAAGCGAGGATATAAATTTCGAGATGAGTATATATCGTAAAAATGATATAAAAGCGCTTATCGTGTTTGTTAATTGACACAAAAGTATGTCAATGTTATCTAATTCGGCGTAATTAGATAATAGTCAACAGACAGCAAAAGTTTTGAGAAAAACTGTCTGTTTATTCATGAAATCCTCGTCATATATTAGCAGATTTTAATGCCTTAATCTATTTATTACAGTGTATACAGAAAAAACATTTTATGATTTTAAAATAAATCTTAATCTATTTAGATTGATATCTTCTAGACAGAATGATAAATTAAGATTTATTTCAAAATCACACAGAATTATTATTCTCTGTGTATAGCGTGATAAATAGTTTATAATTATGCTGGCCATGAAAGAAACCTTTACAGAAACCTAATTTATTACTGAAAGGTACGTAATTAATTACTTATTTCGAATATTAAAAACTATGAACAATAATGTTTTTACTACGTAATAAATAATTAATTACTGTCTTTCAGTCAGTATTAAGTTGGTCAATATTAGATTTCTGTAAGAGAAAGTGTTTGATATTTATGACTATAATTGCACGGTAAAGTAATTATAGCTGGAAGACCATTTTATAGTTATTATTACTATGATGTTAGTAATATCTAATAATTATATTTGTAGTACTGCATATTCTAAAACAAATATATAGTTGGCATAAAAAAATTAGATTATAGTCATTTTCGATGTCAACTGTATGTTCTTTTAAATATCTATAAGTAATAGTTCCATATATAAATAATGGTTCTATGTAATAATTATTATTATTGTTATAAAAAAAATTATATCAGTAATATCTGAAAATAAAATTTAACCACAATTATTTTATCATGCAATTACAGTTACAAATAGCGGTATTTTTCTTTCCGTGTAATCTATATTATATAAGATTTTTATTTCTTATATAGAATAATAATTCCAAATACAGAACATTTTCTCTCAGCGAAAGATTTATTTCAAAATTAGAAAATATCCTGTTGCCTATGTATATAACGACAAATTGAAAATAATTGCTATTCTACGAAGATACCAAGAAGTATTATTATTCATGACATCTTTTCAAGCTGCCATCATAAATTTTCGTGATTAATGTCCATTTCCACGAATGTGGATTAAATTTAATCTCTGTTTACCTTATCTCCCCCATCTTTTTCTAATTCTTACAACTAGAAAAAGATAAAGAGTTGGTTGAACTGAGATTAAAGTTAAACTACTCTCTAAATTCTTTAGACTGGAATCTGACTTTAAAAAGTGAAAATTGAGCCGATCTTGAAAAGAAGTGGCTCAATTTTCAATCTTTAAGAGCGAGATTTCACTTTTCAGAGTGAGATTTATTCTAAAAGTTTCACAGAGTATTATTGAAAGAACCGGACGTAAATCTCCAATATGAAAACTCCAGTAAAATCTACAGCTTCAAAAATTAATTCTCAATCATAATTTATTCAAAAATGACAATCGCTTTATTTCAACGAGAATTTCAAATCACTCGTGAGAAATCCGTAATGGAAAAAACATCCGGTACTTCACGGACACTACGAACCAGGTTTTTTTTTCTTCGGGACGATTTAAATGCGCCGCGATATCATTTAACCGCGGAGGTTTAAAGCGTTGAAGCGACACGGGAAATTTGTTCCTCGGTGCGAAAACATGCACTCACGGCATAATTAATCTAAAGATCCGCGCGAAAGCGAGGACGCCGCGGCGGGGCCGATTTATGTACGTATCGGTTTGTTACGTACCTCCGACAGGGCGTCCTCCATCATATCGTTCGTATCTCTCATGACTGCCGATGGAAACTAGCACCGACAACAATCACTCAACGCCCACGTTCTCCACCGCTCCTCCGCGGCTCTCCTTTTCGCTCTATCTATCTTCTTACTTTCCTCTCTCACTTCGTTCCTCTTGCTCCGTTTCCGACGCGTTACCGTCGTTATATACCGAATGCGCGCGCTTCTCTCTCTCTCTCTCTCGCTCTCCTCCGAGGATTTCTCCTCGATAGAACGCAAGTATCCGCGAGAGTATCGACTACGCGAGAGGAAGAAGGCACGATGACAAGGGCTCGCGGCCGTTTACTCCAGCAGCAGCAGCAGCAGCAGCAGCACCGAGGAGGAATTCCGTGACGTCACGAGCAACACATTTCCTCCATCGCCAGCGGGCGGGCGGTCTCGCGTGTACGCCGCCGCTTGGGTTGCGTGCCGCTACTGCACGGCTTTTGACGGATCGATCGTATCGCGACGTGTCGCTCTCCTGGGACCGCTCGCGCCGGGGGCGCCACCTCCCGCACCGGCGTCCTCGTCCTCGTCGTCGTCGTCGTCGTCGCCGTCGTCGCGGGATGTATCGTCGTCTCCCGGAGTACGGGCTGATGGCCGCGAATTGACACGCGTGTTCACCGACACGGCGCGCGACGTTACGCGGCGATGTTACGCGCACACTTGACGAATCTCTCGCTCGCCCGTGTCGTGCTCCGGGTTTCCCGGAGAGAGAGAGAGAGTGAGACTCCTGGGTACCGAGTCTTCTTGGTACCGCCTCACCACGCGCTCCTACTCGTGCGAGCTACTCCGCGACCCATCGGTGTCCGCGACTTCGGAGACACTGGGAGACACACTGCCAGCTGCCGGCGTGCCTCACGCGCTGGCAGGTAATGCCGAGTACTGCAGGTCGAGACCCTCCTGCCTGCCAGGCAGATCTGCCTCCATGACAGTCCCCGGCGCACGCTCGCTCGTACTCTCTCTCTCTCTCTCTCTCTCTCTCTGTCTCTCGACCGTCGCCTCAGATGATCCTCTTCTTCCTTAGTCGAGCTTCCTATCTCTGTCTTACGAATGTTCCGAATGTACGTCGATTCACATCCGATTCTCTCGCACTTGTAGGTTAACCGAACGCTCGAGTGGCGGAAACCGTAGACTTCCTTTGGATAAGTTTTTTTTTTGCAATTTTAACATCTCGCGTCGCGCGATTGCCAAATGCTCAGGAAAAATTCTTTTATTGAGCCAATTTACTCAAAAGTACAATATTTACACTACATTACCGTTTAAAAGTTTGAAACGTTTCTCTAAATTTAAATTGAAAAATTTTATCTAAAAGCTATAGAGTGCTTTAAACTTTTAAGCGGTAGTGTAACACTTATAAAAATAAATTATATTTTTCTAATTAATTTCATTTACTAACACTGTAAATGTGCGAAAGTTTATATTGCTTTAATCATAAAAATTTTATTCTAATAATGTACGTTTAGAAATAAAAATTGATTTCTTTTCATAAAATTATATTTGTGAAGAATCCATTTGTGTTCTTATTCAAAAACTATAGAGTACTCTAAACTTTTGAACGATAGTGTAATTTATAAAAATAAATAATTTTGCAATACTTCTATAGTATATATTTTAATATGTACTTTCTATATATTTTTCAAATAAATTATTATACGGAAAAATGGATTGTTAAATTATTAAAAAATTTAGGTAGATCAAATCTGAAAATAATTTTGATAATCCAACGTAATTATAATATTTTTACATTTGTATCTAACTATATATTTTTTAATATTTAAACGCCGTTCTTTTCACGTACATATACTATCTTATCTCACTTTTTGTATTTTTTATATTATCCTATATTTTTCTCGCTTTCGACAGCCATTTGCTATTTTCTAATAGTTCAATTTCATTTAGTTAGATTTTCTAATAGTAAAATCAAATGATACACAACACATATTTATTTTACTTTTAGATTTTTTTAAATCTAAATCATCAGGAATTATCTTTTTTTTTTCCTCCCCTAATATATGTTTTAACTAAAGAAAATGAATTTAACTAAATAAAATCGGAAGTCCGAAAATAGAAAAGCTATGTCACACGTACTTATAGGCACAAGTAATCTGTCACAAGTAATCTTCATACTTGTCTTCTGTCGACCGCTCTGCAAGACGGCACTGCCAATCTCAACACTGTCTCTGTTCAGCATCCATTTACACACTTTGTTCATCTCTCCTTTTCTTCTCTGTCCTCTTCCTCTCTCGGGATTGCGCGACTTCGCGGCACAGCTGCCTCCCGGTCGCCCTCCGCGCAGACTTCCTTGCCAGACGTCGCACCGCGGCCATCGCTTTCTCGCAGCCTCCTCATTGTCGTCGTGACGCTCGCGAAACATCCGGCAAATCGCGTGTAACAGAAGCACGCCTTCACGATTCATCAAGATTCCCTGAGATTTCTTTTTGCCCGTAAAAATGCCTGTTCCCCTATCTATATAGATTAACTTTTATCTTGGTTCAACTTATTGTTAGTTACTTCCCAACGAGCAGAATGTCTAAATCTTTCAGAATTCTTTATGAAATACCTCAAACATGTTTTGTAAAGAATTCTTAAAGATATCTCAAAGTTGTCTTATGCGTAGATTTTAGACATTCCGCTCATTGAGTTACTTAGGTCTAAGAATTAGAAAAAAATGGAGAGTGAATTAAATCGATATTAAAGTTGATCTACATTAGTAGAAATAGATGTAACAACAATTCTACAATACTTATGATCAACCAATGAGAGCCGCGCTTTTTTTCCAGAATAATCCTTGCTATTGATTGTCGTTAATTAAGTATGAATAACGATAGCAACAATCGCCGTTAGAGGATCCAGCTATATCAGAAATCAATTTCTCATGTATTGTAGTATTATGATTTGTTCCTCAGGAAACTACAATGTGACAATCTAACAGATTCTTCACACTCCACGTGGCGGCATACAAATCACCGAGATTTCTTACGTACGTCATCATGACACGTCGTTCATTAAACAGTTTCGATCAGGGAAGTCAAATGTTTTCTAAATCCTGAATCTTCCAACAGTAGCTAGGTTCTACATAAACATCAATACACGTACGTTTGTAATTGATTGCTCCGCAGAGAATCTGCGTAGCGATCATTGTTTCCGAGAACGCTGCCTGCAACAAATGGATCGCGTTTAATTGATACGCGGCGATCTCTTCCGATGTTCTGTCATAGATTTCGAATAATCCATCACGATACGCAGACTTCATAATACCGGCGCTAAATAACAGCGACTTGAAATCGATTACATCCATGGCGATGTTCTCTTTTCAGCAGAGCATATAAATCTCGGCGCCTCTCTTACACAACGCCTTAAAATCGTGATTTGTATTATGTAATATAATTAATAGAATTGTCACGAATTTCATAAAATGATTCTTAATTTTCATTATATAGTGACTGGTATGTATGATGTATATAGAAATAAATATACCGAATATTATAAATATAATAATGGAATAATATCAAGTTTCCTTTAATCGTTGCAGATCTTTTCTTTCTTTCGTTAAAAACGAGCGTTCCATACCGATGTTACAAAGCGGTTCACGCATTCTGGTTGAGGGCAGGAACACGGACGAACAGCTGCTATTTCACCTGTTCGATACATTATTTAAATGCTTCATCTGCCTCGATCTCGAGATACCGCAAGATAAGCGACTGGAGTTTCCTGCTTTCTTACTCTTGTCACGCGATCTTCACAAATCTTTTTTAAGTGTAAATCTATCTCAATTCCGATTCATTGAATCTTTTAATAATTGAGGAAAAGTGCAGGAAAATAATACGATAGCATAAAACAATATTTTTATATTTTGAAAATATATGTATAAGTTATTTCATTTCGGTCGACAATTAAGAATTTTTTTATATACCGTTGTACGTACTATATGTTTGATGATTTTATTCTATAACTTTGAACTTGAAATAACGCAGGAAATAATCATGCTTCTGAATCACGGAGTTATCTGCGTGTATATCCTGCTTATCAAATGAATTCTATTTTTTGTACATGTGTGTATGTGTTTTATCTGTATTTTATTTTGATTTATTAATGTTTTACCAGATATTTATACAGTTTAGTACATATTATTTTTCTTTTATTTTTTATTTTATAATATAAAAGTAATTTTCTTTAAGTTTAAAAAATTATTTCTATAATTAATTATTAAAAATAAAGAAATTTTATTATCTCTTTCTCTCTAAATTTACAATTCTACTCTATAATATTGATTCGTCTCTCGGTTCCAATTAATAGAGGACTCATCTTCGTTACATATTTTATAAAGTGATTTATTTCGACTGTTCCGGTTTTGTGATTACGACTTTCATTTTTAAAAATGCGAAAGCTGTCTCCGCCGCTCCACAAAAAATTTGGTATCACCATTCTATACCATTGATTGTCTACCAAGGTTTCGAATACTGGATATTCACAAGCCTGGCATCTATCGATATGTCAAGAGAAATTAAAGTTAACACAAAACAATACTTTCATCTTTACGGCAAAAAATTTTGGCAATAAAAGAGTTTACCTAATTTTAACATTAACCAGAGATCGCGTTTCGTTTACTTTCTTGTAAGTAATTTTTAGTCCGGACCAGACTAGCATTTGTCTCATTTCTAGAATCTACAAAACAAAGTAAAATTCATTTTATTATTCAATTTATTATTCGATTTCTGTATTTTTGAAAATCATTGTTACCGCATATTTCAGTTCATGTGTCATTCTGTCTGACACTATTTTATAGTGCTCGATTTTATTTAATAATTCGCACTGAAAGAAAAGATTGGATGCTGCAACAATTTAGATAGCAAAATAATGGTATAGCATTTTTACATGGCTGCAGTAACCAGTTTTTGATTGTAGCAGCAAAATTTTTAGTTGCGTTAGCCTATCGAAATCATATACTGACATTGCGGACAGGCTAACAACTAAAAATTTTCTGCTACAACCGAAAACTGGTTGCTGCAGTTATATAAAAATGTTATGCTATATTTTACTATCTAAATTGTTGCAGCAACCAATCTTTTGTTTTCAGTATATTATTGTAAATTAAGACAAAGAATCTAATATTTCAAATATTCTAAATATCTAAAATTTTCGTTTTTTAAATAGAGTATTAAAGAATTATAACACAAAATTTTTTACTGACTTTTCTAATAGATTCTCCACTCAATTCAATAGTATCCCAAGTGTTTTCAAAAGGTAAAACCATCATCAGATCACCGTAGGTAATATCAGACTTCTCAAGGGAACTACGAATTCCTCCTGGATTCATGCAGGCCACCGCTGCATATGTCCAATGAGTTTTATTTTTGGCATCGTCGACAACCTAAAATTAAGGCAATTTCCATTTAATTCTTTTTCCAACTTAATTCTTTTTCCATTTTAATTAAAGATATAGAATATTGCAAAGAGTGTCCTCCGTACCGCATTCACCATGGCGTCGGTTATAAGATTTCCTATATTGCATTCTTGATTGTAACAATTGTGTAGAAGTAAGACTCTCGTTGTACCGACTTTTTTTAAAGCCGTTTCATCCACTACTTTCTTCCATGGCTTCAAAGCTTCCAAGATTTCCAGATCTATATATAATATATTTTAGGCATTATTTTAAGTATCGCTTTGTACTGTATTTAAACTATTTTAAGCATTGTGTTGAGTATTTATTGTCATAAATAATAATAAAACATTTAATTCTTAAAATCAAGGCTTACCTTCTTCGATGGATTGATCTAGGAGAATAGGATTTCCATCCCAATCAACAACCTCACCTTGGTCATCGAACCACACTGTCAGATTACCTAAATATCTTTAAAAAAAAAAAACAAATAAAAATTACAAATCTTTATCGCATACACGATTAAATACTTAAATTTATAGTATCAATTTGTACTCAATTTGAGTTAGTTTCTATTATTTCTATGGATCGCTGCTGCTTTTAGTATGTTATTAATTTAATTAATGGAGTTAAACAATTTAACTCAAGAAAATGTGTTAAATTTGACAAAATTAGTTTATTATTTACTAAGTGCATACATCAATATATGTAGGCGTTGTTTAAAAATAACAAAATGTTATTTTTAAACTCAAGGGATTGCTGCGCCTTTGATGTCTAATAGTGTATGCATACGTAATAATAGCGATAATACGAATTTTAAATATGGATTCTTTCGATAAATTTGAAATAAATTTATCCGTCAAATTATTGCAATAAAAACAAATTAATCAAAGCCGACCTCGTGACATAAGATAGCAATTGACCTTCTTTAACGATTCTCTTACTATATCCTCAAACTGACTGAATAGCGTACTTTGTATAAGCAGCTGCTTGAACGATAAGAACTGTTCTATCTGTTTCATTCTGCGTTACGACCACGGGATATTCATCCTGTGGTATATCGATAAAAGGCGGAGGTCCTGCAATAAAAAAAATTGATGCTATTTTAATGCTATATTAAGATAACACTCATTTGCTATTACAACGATACAATTTTTTCAGAAAATGAGTTTCAATGTTTTAAATTATTAAAATATTTTTTAAATTTTAATTTTGAAATATTTTAGTATAATAACTGATTGTTGACAATTTTAATATAATAACTGATTGTAGTTAGAGGAATAAAAGTATGTTCTTTTAATTTTTTTTTTTCCTTTACATTTCCTTTACGTTTTCTTTTACATTTTCTTTACATTTTCTTTACATTTTCTCTACAAGCTGCTAAAGAATGACTATGTTTTAATTGTGTCGTTATCCTAGCAATTGAGCGATATATGAATATCAGTGATATTTTTTACAGTTTGTACATACATATCTATCCGTAATAAAAAAAATTGTATATAAATATTTAATTTATATTTGACTAATATAAAAGATTTTGCTTTCAGACCATTATAAAGAAACGTATGTGAATGACCACCGACGATTACATCGATCAAAGGACACTTCGCAGCCATGATCCTGTCCACATCCAATCCACAGTGACTCAAAACTATAATAATATTTACTCCTTTTTCTTTCAGTCGCTTGGCTTCGTCGTTGACTGTCTCTAC